CTTCAACTCCCAGAATTCCCCAGCCAGCAAAGCTGGCTGGGGAATTCTGGGAGTTGAAGTCCGCACATCTTAAAGTTGCCAAGTTTGAGAAACACTGCTCTGCAGCTGCTACATGCCTAAGATAAAACTAATGTCTTTAGGAGTCCAAAGGCGTTTTCCCCTTGCTATCTCTGCATGCAGATTTTACTAATGGCACATGTCCAAACTAAAAAAAAGAAGAATTCCCATGATGGCGCATGTCTAGGAGGAGATAAGTCCACCCAGAAATATAACAGTGGCTTTTTAACAAGCTCCATGGTTGTGTTCATCTGGGTAAGACTTATACACATATTGGTACAGGATTAGATTTAAAATTTAAAGGTTTAGGACTTATGTATTAGAATGTGCTAACAAAGGTTTCTAACATCTTTGCGCTATCTCCATTTTTTACTTTGTTGGGGTATTTTTCATCCTTTTTTATTAAATTCTCACTGAAGAAGTAAAAGTTCTCTTTTTCTTGCAAAGGAACTCCTGAACGTTTTTTTTTTTAAGTGGGGGTAGTGAGTAACCCCCAAACTGAAACCAGCAGCAAACCAGCTAGTAAGGTTCTTACGGGAAGTTTAACGCATAAAATACTCTGTGCCTTAAGCGAACGCTATCAAGTGATCCGTTAGGAGGATGTGTCGTCGACTCTAAACCTGGCAGAGATGGGAAGCAGTTGTCAAAATGTTCCTCTTAGCAACCTGGACCTGAGCACAGTTAACCCAAGGGAAAAGTCCAATTAGTAATATTTATCAGAAGGAAGGTTAAGGTTTTGGCCCAAGAATTGTAGCAAGTACTCTGCTGCAAATGAGGAAGATATACTGTACATAGGCAATCTGATTTGACAAAACGCTGATCCATTTTCCCACCTTGCTTTGGTGCGAAGGGAAGGAAAAAGGAGGATATTCTGCAACCATTCATCATTTTGGCAGTTGCTGCTCGACCTCTCAGTGTGAGAAATTACTCTTGCAGTAACAAAGGAGAACAAGGTGGGAGAGATTCTCCCTGCAAACATCTCTTCCTGCTCTTACTTTGACCACAACTGAATGGCTCCTTTTTGGATTCTGGCTCGGAAAGAGGGTATGCAATCCCTGAACTGAGTGTTACGCCAGGGGTCTGAAGTTAACGCCGAGTCAGGTATTGAATAATCGTGTAATAGGTGATTCCTATTTTAATACATATCCATTGCATTTTATTTGGCAATCATTTCTAGTAGTTATTATTGCTATACTTGACCTCAGGCATAAAATAAGGGAAGGCACAATGCAGTTTGGAGATGGACAGGAATCTAGCACTGGCTGGGAAAACAAAGACAGTGACTCAGTCCTGGGAAACCAGAAAGTGTGAGAAAGGCTCAGAACAACGCCGCCTCCACCTTGCTTTCCTTAAAAAGGGGCAGTCAAGTTTTCGGGGATGCTTTCAAGATTCTGTTAATATACCCTACAACAAGAACATTGTTTTCTTGGAATGTCACAAATGGGTGATTTTACCTGTTTTGGAAAAGTCATTATTTTCTACTAATCAAAGGATGCAGCAAAGGTGTTCCTACGGCAGAGAGGCTTAACATCCTATTTTGTACTGTTCATATTATAGTAGTGAATTCATTAGTAAACCAGTAACTATTGATAAGTATAAAATACAAGTATAAAATACATTTTTTTCTTTTCTTCTTTCTTTTCTTTCTTAGTTTGAATTTTATTTTTTCCCCATTTTTTTTAAGGTTAAAGGTTGTCTTGTTCATTGTGTATGTATAAACTAAATAAATATTTTTTTTAAAAAGCCTTCCTGGAATCTCTGTGGTTTCTGTTTCTTGACCTGGCCTACCTCAAAGGGCTGACTTTATACCAGTAGGTAGAAGCCACTAGCCGGTCACACTTCCCCTTCAGCCAAAGCCAGCCTCGGTGCCCCCCTTCTCCCTTTCCCTTACCTGTCTGGGTTTGGCACGTCATGCTGGCAACGTCCAAGTAACTCTTGCAATACAGCGCAGGCAGCAGCTGGGACTGGATCAGGGCGTTTTGGAAGTCTCCCCGTTGCAGCCTCTGAATCAGGACAGCCCTGCCCCGGGAGAACGCGGGCTGACTCTGCCTCACCCCAGCCGCACTCAAAAACTACGTTGCCAGACAGATGGAAAAGTTCACAAAAGGTTAGAGGAGAAAGAGGGCTTTGTATTGCATTCATAAGGAATAAGGGGTTTCTCCACCCCAAGGAGAAACCCCTGCCCTCCCAGGAAGATAATGCGAGGGGCAGGGGCACCCCCAGGAGGCCCCACGTCTCCTCACCTGCACTGCCAGGGGGCTGCTGTAGAGGTTCCCATAAAGCCCCTCTCGCGTCTGAGCCTGCAGGATCTTTGCTTTCACGTGCTGCACAGCCTTCCTCACGCTGGCCAGGAGGTCGTGGGGGTATCCAGGGGCTTGCCCCAAGCAGACCAAAGCCAGACCTGCCATTGTTTCGGTGTCTGAGTAAGGAACAGCAGGAGAAGGGTGGGGAGAGGTGGGGTGAGGTCCAGAGACTGCCAATTCACCCCCAGAGGCCCTTCAATGAGTCCCACCAAACTGGGAGGAGGCAACTACAGAGGGGACACACTGCGAGAACCCAACTTTGCAGACTGTGAACCAGGGTTAATGGCTCAGTGCATCACGCAAACCAGTCAACTGTAGCCTGTTCAAGAAAGCCTGCCTCTTTCCAGCCATGGCTTCACAAGAGAGTGCGCTTACTCATAGTCCCTGAAGGACAACAGGTCCAAGAAGACTGGAAAGCAGCCTCTCACTGACCAGTGAGAAAACTGGGCCAAAAGGCCAAGGAAGCATTACCACCTGGAAGATTTGCGCAGAGCTCATCTTACCTACGGAGAGTGTCCCGTGGTGATGAAATTTGCCATGCTGTTCGGCAGACAGCAGCTTCCTGATCACGTCAGGATCAATCCTCTTGCTGTGAACACACAAGGCCAAGATCCCCAAGCTATACTGGTAATAGTTGGTGATGGGGTGACTTTTCTCCTTCAGACCTAGGTGTAGGGAAAGAAACTTCCAAAAGAAGAGCCTTGATTTTCAAAGAGGGTTATTTCCCTTTCCCACCCCACTCTACCCTGGAGCTTCCAGAACTTCTTCATCTAGGTGACTGCAGGATGGTGAAGTGTTTAAAGCATTGGACCAGGACTGGGGACACCAAGTTCAAATCCAGTCTCAGTAGTGGAAGTTGATCGGGTGACTCTGGGTTGGTTCTTTCTCCACCTCACAAAATTGTTGGGGGACAAAAGGGGAAGAGAGAAGGCTGTGTCCATCCCCTTCAACTTATGGAAGAAATTTGGCACAAATAAATCAACACATCTTTCCCCTTTCACTTGTTGTCCAGGTGTCCAGTTGGGAAAAGCTGGAATGAGGTATCTAGGTGGACCTATCCAAAATCTCTAGCTGGACTCAGGATTAAAAGGATGCTGAAGAACTACAGATGCCACCTAGAACCTCTTCAAAAAATGGCTTTTATACATGGAATAAAATAAGTAAACAAATATGGACTCCCACAGCAATGCCCCAGCGTTAGCATAAAAAGCTTCTCCTCACTTCAGTTCACAAGTTGGTGAAATCCAGAGTTTCCACCAAAATTTCAGTGATCAGAACACTGTTAAGATGCTTAATCCACAAGGGCTGCTCAATGTCTGTCTTTATATGATTAAAAGACCAGTTGCCATCCAAAGTTTTCTGGCTACACTCCAAGGTGGTGGGAGGGTTTATCTTCAGAAGAAGGTTGGGTGATGATTAAAAATGGTGACTTTTCAGAAGAAACTTCCTGAATGCAGACAGTTTGTCATTTCTTATTGGATATTGACCATTTTACTCCTCTGGCATTTTCACAGATAATTTAATTCCACAGTTCCAAGTTTGACTGCTGATCGTATTGTTCTATTTTTCAAAAAGGAGAGTCTGCATGGTGTAGCAATTAAGGTGCTGGACCTGGAACAGGGAGACCCAGGTCCCAATCCTTAATTGACCCATGGACATCATTAGGGGGCTTGACCGGTTTTTCCTTCTCTGCTTGCAAGATTGTAAGTGTGAGAGTAAAGTGAGACGTGGCCCTTATATTCCTTGGAGCAGCAGTGACCCATTTCTTTGGAGTGGCTCGGAGCTAAATCCTACGAAGAATGTTTAAAGGAACGGGATGAGCTTAACTTAAAGAGGAGAAGGCTAAGGAGAGACATGGCTTCAAATACTTGAAGGGCTGTCACAGAAAAGAGGGTTTGGGTTTATTCTCTGTGGTGCCAGAGAGTAGGACAAGAACCAAAAGTGGAAGCTTTGCAGAGGGAGATCCAAACTCAAAATCAGGAGGAATTTCCTGAAGAAATGAAGAGGGAGAGCTACGAAGCAGTGAAGCAGCCTGTTCCTGGAGTTGTGGGGCTTCCATCTCTGGAGGCTTTCAAGCAAAGGTTGGACAGCCACTTGTCTGGGATGACTGGAAGATTCTTGCCCTAGGCAGGGGGTTGGACTGGAAGACCTTCCAAATCCCTTCCAATCTGAGGATGCTACAATTCTGGTTTCCTAGCTCGGGCTCCCTGGCCTAACTCCTGGCTCATCTTGGTTTGACTCCTGGCTCCCTTCATCCCCTAACCTGACTTCCAGATCAACTCTAACAATGCACTGACCTACACACAATGGTGGTTTCTAACTTGATTATCTTGGCTGAGCGCAGCGATCCCCGTGGGGAAAGTCCTTCCCCATCTGGCCAACCATTCTTACCAATCTGCTTCTTTTCTCTATTCAAGAGAAGCTTCAGCTGGGTCACCATTCGGTTCCCCTCAGGTGAATCCATGTTGTGACAAGCAGCCCGCAGTGCAAGGAGGTACAAAGCCAGCTGTCCTGTCCCCAGCTGCTTCTGGGAGCTGGCTTCGGAACGAACCCTGGAGCTGGGCACAGCAAGAAACCACAACATCAGTCCTCTCTCTACAGGCTGGGAGAGATTCTCCAGACCTGGTTGTGTTAATATATTATTATATTCTCTGTTAAAAATTCAACCGGAGGCTTAATGCACCATATGCAGAACAGGTTGTCACCAATAGCTTTTCACATTCCCCGCTCAATTGGTGGGCAGCACATGAATGGTTTCTCCAAGGGAAGGAGAAATTCTCCAAGGATTTCTCAAGGGTAGGACCTTAACAGAGATGGTGCTACTGAAGATGCTCCATAGCTGGTTGCTCTTAGTGTCTTCTCCAGGAATGGAATAAAAGGATGGAAGCCAGGGAGGCTGAACATTGCTGGAGAGAGGACTGTACCACACAAAGACAAGACGTTAACACTGTACCACTTGGCCATCTGACCTCTAAGTGGAATTCTACACTCCACCAAGGAGAATTTCTATGCATTTCTGTTCTCTTTTGAAGAATTTTCAGAACTAATCCCCTGATTGCGACTAGGCTGGACTTACCTGCTGCTTTGAGGCTGAAAGATATCCATCAGTCGGTTGAGGTACTGACTTTCCTTCTCCAGATTATGGTTGTTAGAAAGTCGAAGGCCCAAATAGGTGCTGGGACTTGGCTCCTGGGACTCATTGCCCGCCAGTTTTAAGAGCTCTGAATTCAGCGCCTGGATAGGCTGAACGTTTCCTCCAGGGATTTCTTCCAGAGAAAGAGAGAAGAAGCATGTTTGAGACTGGGAACAAGGCTTCCACCGACCATCAGCACCTCCTACATCTAAAATAAGTTCAGGTTGTTTTTAGCCAGGTGAGAAAGCTAATAATTTGTAAGTATTGGGATTTTCTGTAGTTGTTATTTATTTTGTACCACACCCACGCCTTGGTGAAGGTACATAACAGGTGATGGTGATGGAAGAATGGAATCCTAAGGTGGTAGAAGGAGCTGCAGGAATACGAACCAGTGTTGGAATGAAAGCCTCCCTTAAAGTAGGATAGGGCCAATGCGGTCTGTGATTTGCTAATTTGGGGGGCTTCTGTGCAAGGGTTTTTACATTTTTCCTTTGTGTACCTCACGTTTTACCACCTCTTCTGCTCATGGATGGACCATCCTTTCCAAACAGATGCCACCTTTCCTGTTGCAGCCCAGGAAGCTAACACATCACCAGCAGGTGAGGCTGAATTCAAGTCAGGATGGCAATCTTTATTCACCCACCCCAACCTCCTTTGGTGGATATAATGCTCACGGTCACTCATGCCCTGGTCACCTCCCGGGTGGGCTACTGTAAAGTGTTCTACATGAGGCTGCCCTTGAAGGGTATCCAGAAGCTTCAGCTGGTGCAAAATGCAGCAGCGCGGCCAGTTACGTGCGCTCCAAGATCTGCGCATGTTACACCTCTGCTCCATGAGCTGCACTGGTTGCCAGTTTGCTTCCCGGTCCAATTCAAGGTGCTGGTTTTGACCTTTAAAGCCCTTCATGTTGCAGGTCCCTAATCGATATTTGAGGGACCGCCTCTCCCCAGTTACATCTACCTGTCCCATCAAGGCCAGCAGGAGAGTCATGTTGCATGTCCCGTTGACTAGGGAATGCCATTGGGCAGGACCTAGGAAGAACGCCTTTTCTGCAGTAGCCCCCACCCTGGGGGACATCACTCCCCCCCAAGGTGAGATTGGCCCCAACCCTGTTGGCCTTCTGTAAGGCCCTGAAAACTTGGTTATGTCAACAGGCTTGGGGGTCTCATGGAAATGGGGATTTAATGAGGTGGCTACATTGGGTGTAACACAAACCCATAGAGGCCTGCTGTCTTCAGCCCCAATTTTTCATCTTCTTGGACTCTTCTTTCCCTTTTTTAGTAATGTTTTTAAATTGATGTTTTATGTATTTATATATATTTATGGTTTTAATTTTCGGGGTGAGTCACCCAGATCCCCCCCATCGGGGGGAGATGGGCGGGGGAGAAATTTAATAAATAAATAAACATCCGTGCTCTCCCTTTTTTAGTTTTTTTTTATAATAATATTTATGTTTTAATTCTAGAGTATTTTTGTAATTACTGTTTTTTATGGTTTTATTGTACGCCGCCCAGAGTCACGTTTCTGTGAGATGGGCGGCATATAACTATGATAAATAAATAAATAATTGCATCAAGGCTTACTACGTTTAAAATATATGTTAAGCTACTCTGAACAGCGCAAAGAATCCGTCCTTTGGGTGTCTAAAATGATTATTTACAAAACACTCCATTAAAAGGAACCTGGAGGAGAAAAATATTAAATATATTTAATGTTTAATTAATGTTAATTTAATAAAATATTTAATACAATTTAATATTAATTCAATAAAGCAGCATCTAAACATTAAAAATATTGCACAGTTTCCTTCTGAATCAGAGAATTTCACATCCAGCAAAAACCTCTCTGATAAATGGTTTGCCGAAAGAGATGTTTTTGTTTTCACATCTCTCTGTTTTTATTTTTTTGAAATTATATTTGAGGTTTGAGGTTTAACTGTGGCTCACTTCTCAGCATGATGAGCGAAGTTCAAAAGATCAAGGTCTACATTTTCATATAAGCACATGCATAAAAATAAGATTTCATGCTTTAAGTGCCAAACCACGTTGCAGTTTTGAAACTGCCTGCCTGAAATTTGCTGCAACTCTCAAAAACGATTCACCGATTTGTTGTGATTTCATCGAGTTTAGGGCTGGGTAAGGAACAAATATACCACTTAGTCTTAATTTATTACTATGAAGTCTCTTCTGAAGAATACTCAGCAAATGCTGGTGATTTAGGGTTAATTCAAGCTTCATCTAAAGCCTAAGAATTGTCAAGATGCCACCATAATATATCTCTGTTTCCAAGCAAAATTGTTTCTGGTAACTAAGTGATGTGAGGTCACATATTTCTATTTTTTTTTTTTTCCAGGTGTTCTGACAACTCCTAATGCTCCAATAATTCTGGCAAAACTTTCTTCCATAATCTCCATATTTGAAAGGTCCTAATATATTACGATCTTTCCCAGATCCTCTTGAGCTACCCCAGTGCCATTTGGTATTGCCACATCTAATAGGCTGATGATCGCTGTTGTTATTATTACTATTTTGATCTATATGGCCCAGAAGTTCTTCTACTTTGCAGGACTGCAGCTGCGCGGGAGCCAAGGTGTAAAGCTGTCCCGCTCTGCCCGTGGGAGGCTGACGAAGTTGAAAGAAACCCATTGCTGGTGACCCTTTGGGGTGTCCCAACCTTCCATCTCAGAACTCCTGGCTTAGCGTGAGACGTGAGCCCGGCCAATCCATTTCACAGGCACTTCCTGGCGTTTTCCGTAATAAAAAAAGGACATACCGCACGGCTGGACCGAAGCAAACAGGACGCGGGGGAGGAAGAGGAAGAGCAGCCGGATCCACGGAAAAGCCATCGCGAGGGAGACCAAGGCAGGAAATGGCGTGGACTGTCCCCAGCAGCTTTCTCCGGAGGGCTGCCAGATCACTGATCCCAGGAGGAAGCGAGCAGGGCCACGGCACCCGCCCCAGGGAGCAGCAGCTGAGTCTACAGAAAAGAAAGGACTTTGGCTGAGTGGGAGAAGCAGAGCAACCAGAAGGGCGGGTGGCGAGCAGCATCACGCAAGACTCCAAGGGACTTTGGCTCCCACATCAGGGATGTTTTGACTCCCAGCTCTAGATGGGTGTGATTGCTCAACCTCATTTATGGAACCGGATGGGGTCAGGGAGAGGTTCCAGGTGGGACTGGGAGGTCCCCACGTTTTCTCAATGCTTCTTCAGAACCTTTCCTGGCATGGAAGAGCCATTCAGGAGGGCAAGGCTTGGACTGCCTGGTTGCAGCCATCTTCCTGACCTTTTTGACCCTCCCCTAGGATGTCCCTGATGGGGCAGTCAGTCCAGCACATCCAGAGGAGTCCAACGTGGGGGAGACGGACCTCCTTGGGACGGTAGAACGACTGCCAGGCTCGTGTTGGGCTCCAGCGAGGCACTTCCACGTATCCTACGTCTGTCGCCCATTTTCTTGGTCTGCACAACATACCATTAACTAACCCAAGAGGTTCAATCGAGACCACCTCAGCCCAGACCCACGCTGTTGAGGCACTGAGGGTCTTCTCTGTAAATGTCTGTGCCTCGAATCAGTCACCAAAGGACTGAAGCCTCTTCTACAGACCAAGAGTGAAAAAAAGATATGTTTGCAGGAAACTCTTCTCCACGGTTAACTAGACCATGGTTTATTCAATCAGCCCGGTCTCCTGAGTTCTCTAATTATACTGCCCTAACACACTCCATAGGGACTGACTTGTACAGCCCATCCCTTTAGAACAGTGTTTCTCCAGCTTGGGAACTTTAAGATGTGTGGACCTCAACTCCCAGAATTCCCCAGCCAGACCTGTATTGCTGGGGGGGGGGGT